ATTGCTTAAATTTCTTGTGCGCTTTATATTTTTGCCTAACTAATGTTATAATTTCACTGGTGTACCAACAGGGATATTAATTTTTGAAATTTTTGTACAGTGGAACGTAAACATCAAATAAATCATAAAGTTTGTTATAAAATCCATTAATTGCATAATCTGTATCACTTGCATTATTCAAAAAATTCCAGCCAATCAATAACAAAGCATTATATAATGAAGAAATGTTAGCACGTCTAAAATTATAACGCTTTTGATTGGTACTGACTCTAAACTGTTCATTGTTTTTAGATAACATTTTTGATGTTATAGACAGAGTTGGATGATGGACATCTTCGTCAAATAATGGAGTGAAATCTCTACATACAATTTATGCTACTTATCACTAAATCCAGGAGTCTATTATACTGGGTGCGAATATCATTATAGTGTTTCAGTTAAGCCAGCTTGCTTCATTCAAATTATTCGGCACCAAATATGGAGAACTGGAGTCACGTAAATATATTACACGTTTGGAATGCATATTTTCTCAGTTTTCCAACATATCAAAAAAAAGTCTCAAATACATCAGGTAGAAACATGCGGTGCAATATATATGACAGCAAAATAAAGAAATTGATGAAATACAATGCATTTGCACATCAGAAAATCAATTTCTGGGAAAGTTGCATCAAACTGCACAGTATCTACTCCATCAGAGTTAAAAGTTGAGTCAAATGCCAACAGTAAACCACCACCCATTGATAGGTTCAATTGATTATCTTTTCGATAAACGTCATAAGAATTTGGAAATAAGTAGTTCGAGAAAGTTGACTTCGGGTTTCAACCATGTTTCGCTTAACGCAATAATTTTACACTCACACTCACTCACCGCTGGATAGAATTTATCAACTTAGCTGTTTAGCCCTCTGACATTCTGATAGTACACGGTGACAAAATCACTACATTCACTGTTGGGCCGATCTAGTTTAAAGGAACAATCCTAGGAACATTGTTGACGAACTTGGTCCTACATTTATTATCTCCAGATTCTAGCTAACTCAGTTCTAATACACTTATAATGCTTCATTTGCTTTTTGGTGCGATTTTTGATATCAAAATTTTGTTTGGTAAATCAGCACTAGGTACACCACTGGAACTTTTCCCACGCTGTTTTGATAAAAATTCCAGAAATTCCACCAGAAATTGTAAAGATTAGTTAACTTTGTATTTTCGAAGGACAGTGCTGAACTATAATCGATGCACTAGAAAACTTTCCCAATGCTCAATAGTAGCGTAAGCGTAATTATGATACTCGCAAACAAATTTTTAATTGGGTATCACCACCGATTTTACTAATTATAACGGAAATCACAAGCCTCGTATTGAGGGTTTCAGCTTCAAGAATTTATGCAAATAATTAATTATTTATTTCAAAATTGTTGTTAAAACTGATGTTAAGAAATAGCCATTTTTATAGTCATAAACATTTACAATAACTTTTTTATTTTTTAATATAAAATATTGAAGGTCTTGTGTTCTGAAATTTACAGTTTACCGATTATTTATAAAATTTAATTTGAAAATTATACAAGTAAAATACAGAATTTTGAGCGTTCCCCATTGTTTATACAAAACAACACATATCTGGCTGTATCTTTTTATGTAGTTGTCATTCGAAAGACTAGATGTACAGGGTGAACGACTAAGAATGCGTGGTACTGTATCTGGAAACCTATACATCGTAGAGGCTTGCGGCAAAAACAGTTATTAGATACTAAAATGGCCAAGAGAAAAACCTGGAAAATATTTTCAAGTTTCTTAAATGGCCGCTAGGGGGCGTAACTGCAATCTTGAATCTAAAAAGTGATATTTCTGTGAATTACGCTCTATTAACCTACCAAAAAAATACCTGATCTTTAAAGTTGAGGATAATGTGAACTTTTTTATTTGTCAATTTTTGCTGTATCTCTAAAAATAGAGTGGTAGGGCATATTCAAAGGTTTCCATCAAAAACAACCTGTATCTTCGAAACAGCTGAGCCGATTTTAACAAACTTGGGCTAGTTGAAAAGAGCTATTCTAGGGCTATTAACGCTATAATATTTCAGGTTTTTTCAGTTTCTCATGTGGCCGCTAGAGGGCTTTTTTCGACATACCGAGAAAAATGGTTAATTTTTTCAAAAAAATTAAATGCATTCGTATGATTTTCTTTATGAAAAAGTAGCTAAAGTCCAAGCAAGCAAGCTCGCGAAAACCGCATATCTATATCTTGTTCCTAACTTAAAATTTAGGCCAAAGAAAATTTTATACGGGAATCCCTTAAATTTTAATTTTTTAAGCTATTTTTTCTGGATTTCTTTTTTATTCATCAGAATAAAATCACCCTTTTTGAAAATAATACAAAATATCGCTAATAGGTAAGTAAGTAAGTAATAATAATAGCAAAAGGCATATTTTTTGTTTAAATGCATAAATATTCACTATGGGTATATACGAAAAAGACAATTTGTTAATAGAAGCAAGCCATGGAATGCAACATAACAAATACCTTATCAAAACATAAATAATCCTCAAATTATCCATAGTTGTCAATACGAGTTTGATTCAAATATAAACGAGACTTTTTTTGTAATTTATTTTTATTTTAAACGAAAAAGAGAATATAGTTTATTTTTCTACATAATCTCCTTATTTAGAAACACATTTTTCCCAGCGGATAGGCAGCTTTCCAATTCCTTCCACGTAGAAAGATGCAGGTCGTGTCTGCAGCCAATTGCGCACGTAGGTTTCAACCTCAGCATCACTATCGAATCTTTGGCCTCGCAAAGCTTCCTTGAGAGGGCCAAACACATGAAAGTCATAGGGTGACAGGTCTGGACTGTAAGGAGGGTGTTCCAATGTTTCCCATCCTAGTTGCTCCAATTTTTCCCTAGTCAAGGCTGCTGTATGGAGGCGAGCATTGTTATGGAGAAGAACCACTTCCCTGATCGATAGGTCTCGTCTTTTGCGGCGATATGCAAGTCGGACCTCACTCAAAACGTCGCAGTAGTAGGCCGCATTAATTATCCTGCAATCCACGCTGGTCAAAAAAAAAACGGTAGCCAAAACCTTGCCAGCCGACAAACGTGACTTGGCTTTCACTGGTGCAGGTTCTCCTTGTTTTCTCCACTCCATACTCGCTCCAATAACTTATCCCGACCTCACTTGCAATTTCAGAAGTGGTACGACGTCTGTCATCTTCAATAAGCCGTCGAACACTGCTGATGTTGTTAGGTGTAATGCTGGTGTGAGGTCTGCGGGCATGGCTCTCATTTTCAACACGATCACGACCCTCCACGAACTGTTTATGCCATGCAAACACTCTGGCTCGCGACAGTGTCTCTTCCCCAAACTGGGCAGTCAATCTCCTCAAGATTTCGGCCGGTTTTACGCATTCTGCGGCGAGAAACTTGATTACAATACGTTGCTCAATTGACGAAGGTACGTCTTGCTCCGACATAGTCACGGTGGACACTGAGCGGGTCGAGGAGGTGAGTCCACGTGCTTCCCTTACTCCTGACAAACCTACCCAACAACAAACATAGCAGCAACGTTCTCCCTCCACTATTGTGCCTGAAGGTCGAAAAGTCTCGCTTATATTTGATTTACCCTCGTAGTTGCGCGTTACTTTGAGCAGTTTTTGTGTCTACCAAATGCGTTTTATGAACGATGAAGCTGTTGATAGGTTTCCAGTTTATTTTGAATGTCTTCAGAATGCCGCAGTAGCAAAAAGAGTTTACGCGACTCGATATCCAAATCGACGTCTTTGCGATGTGAGAATTTTTCTCCGATTAGCGGCGAACTTACGAGCCAATGGTAGTTTTCGGCCTACGTTTCAACGGTAAAGAATTGGAAGAACACAGGAAAATATTAACCGCGTACTGGGATATATTGAGGGAAATCCTCATGTTAGCACAAGGGCATTATCCTTTGAGTTTGGGCACGAACAACGGTTCAAAATCCTTTGAAGTACCATAGGTGAGTTCTAATGGCCATCAAAATATAGGAACTTATTTGAATCTAATCTATATTTTAATTACTTTCAGAAGATACCCATATCATGTCGTTTTGAATTTTTGGACTATTAAATTAGATGCTACGCATGATACGCGAAAATAGAGAAACTTTATTTCAAATTCTTTGGACCGATGAAGTCACCTTTAATAGTGACGGGAGAGTCAATCTGCACAATATGCATTATTGGTCTGCTGAAAATCTGCAATCCCTAAATGGCAATGTCTTTCTTGACTTTTCAGACAATCCATTACCGTTGTTGTTGGAAGATGTGCCACTGGAAACACGGCAAACCTTGTTTTTGCAGTTGGATGGTTGCCCAGCACATTTTGCTATTATTGTGCGAGAGCATATTAATGCAGTCTTGTCTTGATTTTTATCTATGGGGACGGTTAAAATACATCGTGTTTTAGACTCAACCTACAACCAGAGAAGATATGAAAAATCCGGATTCGTAAGGCAATACGTAACATATTGAGAGCCGAAATTGAAGCTTCAGTTTTGTCTACCTATGAGAGGCTTCAGGAATGCATAGAGCGTGATGCCGAAGAAAGCCGTCTAAAATCAGTTCAGCCTACCAAAGAACGTGTTTTTACGGGAACTCGAGAAATGTACAAAAAAGGAGTTTGACAGGCTTTAATATTCGCTAGCATTAACTATCATCTTCTCACACCATGGTATTTCATAAATTTCATAAAATGGATACAAGATTACCAACATCAGACCGGTCTACTGAGCTCGACAAGCTGACGGATATGAATGCAATATATTTTCGTTATATAACACATTAAAAAAAACTTCACCCTAAATTCAAAATTTTCGCAATCACACTTCTTTCCTAGGTTATGCATGATTGATAAAAGGACTTTTAGAACAATAGGATTTAGGATAATTAGAATAGAACCCTGAACTCGTCTAACAATAAACAGAATACAATTTTATTTTTTATCGTTTTTTATTTTTCAGTAAGTTCAGAAAAAGCCGATTCAGAAGAAGAAGAGGGTGTAGAAACTGAAGCTGACAATTCTGAATATATAGAAGACTGTGATCAGAGAAAAACCATCAAGGTTAAACCGTTCGGGGGACCACTACTAGCTCAATCGTAAGAAACACATTTTTTTAGCATCGAATTTGAGTGCAATTTTATTACATCGGTGTAATTTAGAAAAAATTTCAATGGTATTTGAAAAACCATTAGAATTATTCGGTGATTCCGTTAATTACTTTTTTGGTGGAGGAATGATGACGAAATGCAAATTAATCCTTAAGGGTCTTTCATAAATGCTTATTCTTATTTGTCTTCAAAAAGAGTAATCATTTTTCTTTTATATATTTTTTTTTTGATTCCGGTTTTATTTTAATAATGCTACACTAATATAAAATGTGACTACATGTTACCATAGTATTGTAGATGTTCCACCCAGCATGTACCGACAATGTTATATTCGTTGCATCAAAGTAAATATAGTTTGATGTGTTTTGTAAAATTTGTATAATCTTGGCAATGTTATTAGACGTTAGTTATGTGACTGCTGCACGTAACATAACTAAAATTTTTTTGTGTTGAATGAATTTGTATATTTAAACGGATATATGATTTATAAAAAATGTGACAGAGATGTTGAGTCAAGTCTACCTCAGTTACAAATTTTACAAAAAAGACAAGTTGCAATATTATGTATTTATAAACAGTAACTATCCATAGAAGGAGCTCTTTACATTTGAAGATTTAGGCACTCGATTGGATTGGCATATGTTATGTGAATATAGACGCTTTTGAGAATAGAGAAGAAATTTTTGCAGTCGCTTCACTAGCTGGTGATGTAGCAAGAATGTATAAGACCAAACAAATTGTGGTGGATCTTTAATCGTCCAGAGGGGCATGACCCCATGACCCCCTTAATCCGCCCTTGCTCGTCGGCCTATTCCATATATCTATCAATTGTACTGGAGATACTGGATGCAACACATGTGACTGGGGATAGTTAAGTACATAACCAAACCTAAGGAAAAGTATTAGTCCAATGATATTAGGCGAAAATACCCCTGGTTTGCGAAATAATTGTAAATTCTGGTTTTATTGCTGCAAGCTATCCAAGGGAGTATTTAAAACATGGACGCATAAAATGGATACACCAATTTTTGTGAGAAAACTTTTTATTCGACAACAAAGAATGAGGAAACGTATTTTTTGGGATGCAATCGAAAGTGTTGGCAGCAACGAAAAAATTCTTCATATAAGATTTTTAGGTATTTATGAGACCTACAAAATGAGACCACACGTAAAATGATTCGACTAATATCAAAAATGTTATGGCCGAAAAACGAGCCAAAATGCAGGTTTTGGCACTTGTTGGTTATGCGACGATAATTTCATGCAACTACTTGAAATTCTTCAAATCCGTAAGATACATGCTTCTAAATAACAACAACAAAATTGGAGTATATTGGTCAAGTAGTTTTTTGATAATTCCTAATTGTTTATTCCAAAATACCTGTTTTCCGGCCAGCACTACTAGTTTATTGAGCAATATACAGAGCTAGTTAGTTTTATAGCAAAATACACTAGTTTACCTTGCCGATATGAATCGCAAACCATTCCGGAAGATAAATGTTATTTTTATGCAAAAAAGGATGGGTTACGTTTTTTCTTCTAAACAAATTCAAACATTTCGTATTTGTGAGTAATTCGCAACAAAAGATGGTAGACACATCCGCTTTGTTTTAAAATGTGTATAGTAATGTACGTTTTTCGAATATCGTAGCGCATTTGTTCAATTACTCACAAATACGAAATGTTTGAATTTGTTTAGAAGAAAAAAAATGTAACCTTTGTTTTTCGCATAAAAATAACATTTATCTTTCGGAATGGTTTGTGATTCATATCGGCAAGGTAAAAACCTGTATTTTGCTAATAAATGCTCTTTGAACGAACCCTGTATATTGTTCAATAAACTAGTAGTGATGGCCGGAAAACAGGTGTTTTGGGATAAACAATTAGGAATTCTCAAAAAACTACTTGACCAATATACTCCAATTTTGTTGTTGTTATTTAGAAGCATGAATTAGATTTGAAGAATTTCAACTGTAGCGTGAAACTATCGTCGCATTACCAACAAGTGCCAAACCCTGCATTTTGCCTCATTTTTCGGCCATAACATTTTTGGTATTAGTCGAATCTTTTTACGTGTAGTCTCATTTTGTAGGACTTATAAATACCTAAAAAGTTTTTTCGTTCCTGTCAACACTTTCGATTGAATCCCAAAAAACACATTTTCTCATTCTTTGTTGTCAAATAAAAATTTTCCCACAAAAAATGGTGTACCCATTTTATGCGTCCATGTCTTAAATACCCCCTTGAACAACTTACACCGATAAAACCAGGCTTTACAATTTTTTCGGAGAAATTTGCTAATATGATTAGGACACATGACTTGGTTTGGTCGATTTTAAAGGCTGTTAGCATCGGCGACGATATGTTAGGACTGAAGAAGGCGGATAGTCAAAAGCCAAGATATCCGACATAATTGACGGGTTTTCCTCTTCATCCCACAACATCAACCCAGGTGTTCTCCAGGAAACGGTTTTGGCTCCGCCACTGTTCCTCTTACACATCAATGACCTCCTTTCCTGTACGATCAATCCAAATCACAGCTTTGCCGATGACAGCACTGTAGGTGAAGAATAAGAGTGACAAGCCGAGCTAGAATATCTACTAGCAGCGAGTTCCTCTCTGACGAGAGATTTGGAGGTTATAACTGCTTGGGGACCCAATAATCTTGTACAGTTTAATGCTTCCAAAACACAAATTTATACCTTGACGAACAAAAAACGTCCTAGCGCTCATCCGGTTTCGATGGATGGCCTAGTTCTACCAAAGAGCCGTTCATTCCGGAAGGTCACCGAGGACTTGATCGGGCACGATCACATCTCGTCAATAGTGTCAGCTGCTGGGAAAAAGCCACGCTATTTGTTTAGAGCTAGCACTTTTCTCGAAACGACCTCCTCACACTGTACAAGGCCCAGATAAGACCTAGCCTCGAGTATTGCTCACATCTTTAGGGTGCTGCCGTCCCAACTACATTATCCATGTTCGATGGTGTTCGAAGGAGAGCTGTCCGACTGATCGATGACTCTTCTCTAACTAACAGACTCGGAACCCTTTCGCACTCCGACGATCTAACTCTCTTCTATCCCTACGCCAATGGGTTTTGCTCCTCAGACCTCTACACCATGTTGCGCCTCGCGACCCGCCGAGCAGCTTCTGCCTGTGTAAAAAAAAGAACTTGTGGGGTGTCACAACTCCCAGTGAAATAAAGATTTTTGTCCAAAGCTGAGTGCCTGGGAGGAACATTACATCATGAGGACATGAATCAACTATGTCGTCTATCGCATCATCAACACAAAACCGTTCTTTGAAAATCCATCCCTCGAATTTTACCCGATGTTTTAGGAAGCACCTTGGTTCGGGAATCGTCGGTACGGTAATCGCCAACCTGTCAGTGACCGTATCCGAGATCCCGGCACACAAGTTGTGTTCAATCTGTTACGCTATTATAGACAGAATTCACACGGTCAGATCCCAGACACAGTCATCGACCGCTGTACTAACAAGCCAATAAACTCATGGGAATATCAAGAGGGCACTTGAGAGGATCGATGTCCCATTACAGATGGAGTTCTGTCTGTCTACAGCATTGTCTTCCTTAAACTTCTGACAAAACCTAAATTCACTCGTAACCGGGGAACTGTTTAATTTGCATAAAAACATTCACTGTTACGAGGGATGTCTTTTAAGTTTTGCTTATGGAAATAAAACAACACGGTAGGTAATTTTAAATGACTTTATTGTTTTTCGAAGTATTCTCCTCGAAGATTAATACACATCTGCATGCGCTCGAACCAATTTTCGAAGCACTTATTCCACTCGTTTGCTGGCAGATCCAAAACGGCATTTTTGAATGCGTCAACTGCTTCTTCTGGTGACTGGAGGATGGTCCAATAATTCCACGTTTTCTTCCGTTAAATACTGCCTTGTATTTTGGGCTGTGTGCGAGCTTGCATTGTCTTGGTGGAGGATGATTCTTCTTTCGGGGTTGATTTTTCGAAGCTCGGTGATGACCTTTGGCAAACAAATGGTGGTATACCAATCCAGAGTAACAGTTCTTTGCTCATTAAGAGGAATTGCTGCAATATGACCCGCTTTTGACACAAATGTCGCGACCATCTTTTTCGAAACACTTCGAGAACGGATGACTTTTGTTGGCTTTTCTTCACCTTGGAACACCCAAACAGCCGACTGTCGTTTATTTTCTGGTTCATAACAGTAAATCCACTTTTCATCACCACTAACAATGCTGAAAACATTTTTTGAGTTTCCGGAATTGAAACGGTCAAGCGTTTTTTGACACGGATTAACCCTGGCTGCTTTCTGCTCTTCAGTCAACAGGTGGGGTATCCAACGAGAAACTAATTTTCTTACTCCTAATTCTTCATGTAAAATTTTTGGAACTGAGGTCTTTGAGATCTTCAAGGACGCCTCAATCTCGCGATATGTCACATGTCTATCTTCAATGATGAGTTTGCCCACAGCATCGACGTTTTCCTGGGTGCCTGCCGTTTTTGGTGCACCCACCCTGGAATCGTCGCTAAGACTCACCCGTCCACGTTTGAATTCTCCATACCAACGGGAAATTGTCGACTGATGTGGCGCTTCGTTGGCGAAAACAGACAGTAACTCAGCAAGGCATTCTTGTTGCGATAATTGTCTCTGAAAGTTGTAATAAATTATGGCGCGAAAACGTTCTCGGTTGAGTTCCATTTTTCTAATGACTTGGTGACACTTAAAAATTCACTGTAGTGAGAACACTGCACGTATTGTTGTGAAACTTTGAATTTAAGTTTACTAAAGTGAGGTTAAGATTCACTACTGACGTTCGATCCGCGCGGCCTACTATGTTTCTATATGCAAAACTTAAAAGACATCCCTCGTAATTTATCTTTTATAACTGTGAAACCATTATATATCACCTGCGTCGTTAGAAATGAACAAATTCATAAAATTCTGGAGTCTAAAAAGTTACATTCATCCAGCAAAAATAAGACTTACACAGAATGCCATGTATACTTAAACTTGACATCGATTTTCAGGGAAATATCCACGAGCCAGCAAGACTTTTTCAAGATGTTGGACGAGAAGATTCAAAATGTAAGTAAATAAATTTTGTAATTCCTGACACAGACATGAGCCATGGCCGTGCTTAAAAATCATTTTCAATTTACCAATGAGGTAAATACTTTATGTAAAAAATCACATGGATAGAATGTGATGTATCGCTGCAACGAAATGTAAACGTTTGACTGTATAAAAATATATAGCATGTACATAATATGGTTCTATTTAAATAGGGAATTGGGAATGCTATTTCACACCCATTAGGCAGTTCTCACACTCATGGGCGTCCACAGGGGGGATGCCCACCATTCCTTAAAATCCGGTTGAACATTCAATTTTGCATATTTAGCATGATTTTGTGAATAATTTTGGAGATGTTAGGATTAAAAGTGGCGATAGAAGTAATATTTGTAACTATAGGCAGATTGCAATACTTTGCGATTTTGCGGTTATTTATAATACCATTTTCAACTCTGTCAAATGTACTTTTTCTGCTAACCAGCATGGTTTTGTTGCTGGCAGATCAACAGTCACAAATCTGACCTGCCTGACTCAAACTATCTCTGAGGTATTAGATGATCAGGGTTAGTTGGATGTCATTTATAACGGCACTAAAAGGCCTTTGATCAGATAGATCATTACTTGCTTTTATATTTTACATTTATTAGAAGTAATCTGGAATACGCTTCATTAATTTGGTCTCCAATCTACAACAATTCAAGGATTAGTATTGAATATGTGCAGCGTAAGGCTTTAAAGTATTTGTATTAGAAATGTTATGGCAATTATCCTGAAAGAGGTTTTGCCATTCTATTTTATTGAAACATCTTTGTTATAGAGTCATTGCATCTTAGATGCGATATATCAGCGCTACACCTTTTGTACAAAATCAAGTTGATTATTCATTCATATTAAGTAAGCTTAATTTTCGTGTACCTAAGGCCCGTATCGTCAGTCGCCCCTACAATTGTAGGGCGCGTTTATGGCCTCCTTGATTGTCATACACCTTTCTCTCCTTCAAAAATTTCTAGATTACACTTGTCCCATGTCAGCGTCAGCGCTCTCCTATTATAAAGATATGTTTTCTTTTTAAATTGTAGGAAATTTCAGGCTGATAAAACATGATATAACTCAAAAGCAAGCACAACTTGATGCAAATAGATGTTTGTGACATAACCTCAAAATAGAGCGCTGACACGGAGAAGTAGAAAACTATGACAATCAAGGAGGCCATAAAGGCGCCCTACAATTGTAGGGACGACTGACGATACGGGCCTAAGTTGGGAGATCGTGTTCAAATCACTTTCTATCCGGTTATTGGTAATACTAATGTAATGTCTAGATCTCCGGTAAATATGATGTGTACATGTTTCAATTCTGTTGGCACTTCCTGTGACTTAGTTTTTGACAGTCAGAACTTTGTTATGAAGTGCTACAGAGACTGGTACCTTTGTCAGTGAGAGTTAGTTTTTCCTTTTTTTAAATTTTTTCTTTTTTTTTGTCTTCAGCGTTACCGCTGTTGCTAATTATGTAACTTTTTCTTGTATTTTTCCTGTAATTGGGTGTTGCCTGTTGGGAATAAATAAATAAACAACGGCCCGACAGACTTGATTAGTAGAACATTTGCTGACCTCGTTCTTCAAAAGTTTTGAGGGCAAATAGACTTCTGTTCTACAAAAACTTTTTGGGGCAGGCACACTTTCACAAAAACTAGTCTCTTGCCGATGATCGCTCCCCACTAACAAAAATCCTGCTGGTATCCATGTTCACAACTTGTGAATAATTTTATTGGACAAATTTTAAAATGTATTGACCGAATCAACGAAAAAAGTGTGTGCTCAATACTTGTGTAGGCATCCTGTATGAACAGAAATAATAAGGTCCTTGAGAGTTCTAAAATCCTGAAACGGAAGATGCGAAAAAAATATAATTACGTATACCTGAGTGCAATACAACTCGAAAATAATAACAAAATTTCTGGCTTTGCTGTACACATACAGGCTAGAAAATGTAAAGTCTGTTCATTCTTGACTTGATGAACAAGACAAAATCAGTATGAGGATGCTAATGTGGGACGGATATGTAATGTACATATATTAGCATATTCGAGGTTTGTAAATTAAGTAATGAGACTGGCTACGTAGAGCTTGATCTGGTATCACTGTAGGCGACGAACTTTTTAGGGGAGACAGAAAAACATGTGATCCGCCTCCAGTACAAGTTTGAACCCGCTCGAGCAATTTGGTTGTCAGTAGCAATTTTTTTATGAAACAGTTTTTCCAATTGTATTCTAAAAATGAATGACATCAATTTCGAGCAACGGCCTACGGAGATAGTGTTTTGTCAAGAGCCCAGGTTTTTTGGTGGTTTAAGGCAAAATATCGACAGAATCCAGATCGTTGGTTGACAGTCAGAATGATCGGCAGGGGTGTTACTTAAAAAATCTAAGAAAAAAACCACAAAATGTCATTTTGCAGACTATTTACTCCGCCCATGCTACAAATGAGCATGAAGTGAACGACAGCCAGTTCCAAGTTGACATGTTGTAGATAAACATACGTTATGTCACAAAAAAAACATTTAAAATGTAAAAAAACAGACAAAATGTCACTTTTCAAGATATGTAATACCCGTTCCGAGAAGAGTTAAATTGGACTCACACCTATGTCATCCCCTTAAACATGTTTGGTATCTGGGTAGCCAGACCTGACAGACTAACAGACCGACGAGACTTTTAAGTAAGAGCAAAGGTCCACCGGACCACTCTGACGAATAATGACGAATAGTACCTATGTTCATTAGACCAAGAACAACTGGATGTTGCATCACGATAGTGCTCCTTATCACATAGCAATGTCAACAAATGAGTTCTTGCCCAGTAAAATTATTCCTCAGCCTCCTTATTCACCTGACTTGAGTCCTTGTGACTTTTTTCATTTTGGGGCAGTCGAAAACATTCAAACAGCTGTAAACGACGAGCTAGCTATTCCAGCTTCGGAGTTCCAGCACTGCTATGAGGAGTTTAACAACGATCTCCAACGCTGTGTGGCATCAGAAGGAAGTTATTTTGAGGGTGAGAATATAAAATGGTAATTATATTTGTATGAAAAAGATTAAAAAACCGGTCTCAACACTTATTTACAGACCTCGTACTAGGTAGTGGCTCTACTGTAAAGCCCATTCTTTTGGATTCACTTGGTGCTAGATCTCTAAAAGAAAACCTCTTTTTGTATCCCTCATTATCAACTGTCCATTTTTTAAATAACCCTACCTTTATATAGCTTCATTATTGAAACAAGCATCAATTGTTTTATTTCCCTTTTGAAACGCTTATGTATAATTGCAGACTTTAATATTAGTATAATGTATTTTTAGTAAAATTCCAGGATTTGATGAGAATTATAATTTACTGTTAATTTCTAGAAGTTGGGTGTCTGCCAAACATGAAAACAGGTGTTCTCGATAAATAAAAAAACATTTGATGCTGAAAGTGGTGCAGCACAGTGAGGTACGGTATAGTTTTTCAAGAAGGATAAAATACTTGTAAAGAACGGAAACGAACGGGTTACAATTTCCATTCATATAAAGTTGTTTTTTTCTGTAGCGACCGGAAACCTTCGTGTAAATGTTAGCAGTCGCGTAACGTTTTCCAAAGACCGATCGCAAATGGCAGGTTCGCAGCTTTACAGCGCCGTTAAGGTGCGTATACATATGCGAGCCGAGCGGTTCGCGAGCCGCTTGTGAGCCGCTCGATGGTGGTTCGTTGAAATGATTTTTTCCGCGAACCTCCAGCGATCCACAGATTCAGCGCACCAAACGCAAACAAACATCGCAGTCGACAAATGCAGTATGGCTTCGCGAAACGAAAATTTTACTATTTTAGTGATGAGTGCTGCAGTTTTAGTAATGGCTGATGTAAATAAAAAAAAGAGAAGACAAAACGACGTTGGTGGCGTACTAATTTATTCAAGAAACGCAGTGGTACGGGAATTTTAATGGACCTAAAGTCGCAAGAAATAAGCGGACAGTATAAAAATTTCACTCGAATGACACCTACTGACTGAGAATCTGCTGTAAAGGATTGGACCCCATATTTAAACAGGAGACTTATTTTCGTACTCCAATCTCTGCCCTAGATAGGTAAGTCGGTGTACCGTGGACAGGTAGCTTTGTTTTTTAACAATTTTTTTAAATTAATATTCTAGGTTAGCCGTACCACTTCGGTTTCTTGCCACGGGAGATTCATATACTAGCCTTCAGTATCTATTCAGAATTTCCAAGCAGTCGATTGGGCGTGTAGTACCCCAAGTTTGTGCTGCACTAATTAAGGAATTGCAGGGATATATCAAGGTAACAACATTAATATATAAATTAAAGGCCTGTGTGTAATTCAAAAATATATTTTTCTTCACTTTAAAATAATTTCCACCACTAAGTTAACAAACAAAAATAGAACTCAAAAACATTACACAAAATCTTGGAGAGAGGTTGTGAATAATAAGTTTCAGAAGATTGAGAATATAGATTATGTGAAGTAGGTTGGGAATACATCGAAGAAGTAGGTTGTGAATTGATATGATTGGTAGCTTGTGACTGTATGTAGGAAGTAGGTTGAGAATCATTGTAAGATTGAATTGAAGTCGGATTAAGAAATCCTCTATCAGCTTTAATAATAAGGTCAAAAACGGCATGTTGAATTGTCTGTTGTATTGGAGGCGGGTATTTTTGAATTGCAGCAACAAAATTAAAAAATAAATCTATTTCACTGGGTTGAGTTGGCTCTTTGTCCATTTTTTTCGCAGCATTCTTCAAAATCTGAAATGCATCACTCATTATTGGAGAGAAAACATTATCTTGTTTTGTTTTTGATCGCTTTGTAGATTTGGAGGTAGATGGTAGCGTAGATGTCTCTGGTATCGCCGCTTGTTCCATTTGTTCGGAAGATAGGGCAGCTTCGTTAACATCATCCAGCTCGTATTAAATACATTTTCAGTAACTTTATATGTAGTTTATAAATAATGAAATTTTGAAAT